CACCCCACCAGAGGCCAGGTCCGCGGCCAGGCACGGAATATTGCTCAAGGTGTATATGTTCTTTTCTCTCTCGCCCACCCCATCCGCTCGAGTTTTCCCGTTATTGTCGTCCCCTCAGGACTGCCCCGCCCTTCCTGGAGCTCCTCCTTGGAGCCCCTCCTGGAGCCCCTGGAGTCCCTGGAACCACTGGAACCCACGCACGTGCACGGCGACCAGCTCTCCAGCGCTCTCGCTCCAGCGGCCCCGGCCCAGCAGAATGCGCAATAAGCGCTCGCTCTTGTCTCTTTATATTATCGGTTATTCATTCATTATTATTATTTGATTGGTTTTTGTTGTGGCGCGACGCTATACTGCGCCGTTCGCGGAACGCGCGGGCGGAGCCAGGCGGAGCCAGGCGGAGCGGACCGACGACGAGGCGAACATGGCGGCGACAATCGCGTTGGCGGGGTGCGCGGCCAGCACCACCGTACCCCATCGAGAGCAGAGCGCCTGCCGCATCCGCTGGCTGTCATTGTGGCCGTTCTGATTCCATTCATGTAATTCTATATGACAACGGCACGCCGTGATCACCCACACCCACCATCCCGCCCGGCTTCTGTTTGATGTACCGGGTGTTGCGGCAGAGCAGGCACCACAGCATGCGGGTACTACACAGAGATATATTTTACAATGCGGCGTTCCTAAACAAAGCAGAGGGTTGGGTCACTATCTAACCCAGAACCCCCCAGAAAGCGAAAAATACTGTGGAAGTTTTTATGAAAAACACCTACAGTTTAGTATACTTTCAAAATTATCTAGTAAAATTACGAGATTTTTTCGACACTCTCTATTGACCACCACAAGTCACCACAAGCAAAACTTGGGTGTTGCAAATTTACAAAGTGTTCAAAAATTAATAAAGTCATTCATTTCAGCACAAATATCAAATATCTCTTAAAACGCATCTTATCTCGCACCTGTCGCAACACGCATCAAAAGCGCCTGAGCGTTTTTCAAAAACGCCCAACGCTTCACACAAACGTCCAATGCCCGAACGCCCCCTAAAAACGCTAACTGGATATCTACAAGAAATAGAAATTATAAAAATAAAAATGTTAAAAATTTGTAAAGATAAATTTTATAGCTCCTAAACAAGGCAGAGGGTTGAGTCACTATCAACCAGATCGATTTGTTCTTTTCACGCTCGAGACTCGGTCATAAACGGAGCCAAACTCTATCCACTCCCCTTTAGCGCACGACACTCGATTTTTCTATCTTGACGCTCTGGCAGAGCCAGGCAGAGCTGGTATTGCAATCAACTCAAAATATCGAGAGATGCGTAACGACACCGCACTAAACATCGTGATTCCGTCGGTGAGGTCCGGGCAAGCCAGCCCCAGGCGAGGCGGCGGGTGGCGCGCGCGCTGCCGCGCGGCGCTGGGTGGAGTGCCGCCGCCGGCCGGCCGGGCTGGGCGGAGCGGGCGGAGCGGGCGGAGCAGCCGCTGCCAGAGTTGAGTCAGTCTCAGTAGCGGCCAGGCCCCGCGCGCACGAGGTTGTCTGCTCCGCGCGCCCGGCCTCTGCGCAGCCCTACTCTCCCGCTCGGCCGCTCTTCTCCGCGAGTCGAGTCCGCCCCTCTCTCGGGCCCCCCAGCTCGTGGCCCTCAGGGCCCCTCTCTTTGTCGTCGTCGACCCCCTAGAACTCCCCGGTGCCCGCCTCTCCCCCCAAGGTCCCCGACACATCCCCCGTGGCCTCCAGCGGCCACCGCGGCCACCTAGAGGACGCCGCCGGCGAGGCGCGCTGCTAACCTGTTGCAGGCCCACTCGCACTGCTTGTCGTCGCTCAGGATGCGGCGGCCGGGCCACTAGTTGTGTCTGAGTGTGTGTGTGTTCGTGAACTTGTCTTTGGTGCGACTGACTGCTGTGCCGGCCGCAGGGCCCCGTGTGTTCCACCACCGCGTCGTTCCACATCCACTTCGACGTTCACATCCAGATCGAGCAGGTGAGTGCTGCCACAGCTGGCCCGCCGCACCCTCCTCCCCGGCCCCAGCTGACACTGCACACGAATGAGTGCAGTAATATGACAGGAGCGATGATTTGCGACCTCGCGTCCCATCCTACCCGTGCAAGATAAAAAAGTGAAAATAAAAATGTATAAAATGATACAAAAGGGTGCGCCCCCTCCCCCTTTTTTTTCTCCCCGTGTGTGTCGGCGTTATTTATCGGCTGGGCTGGCATGGCCGGTGTACAGTAGCAGCGGGTGCAGTCGTGTCGCCGGGGGCGGCGGCAGTGGCGTGCCCAGCCGGCGAGCTGCGCACCGTGGCCGCAGAAAAGCGTGCAACGCGGTCAAAAATATTCAATCTTTAGTGCAAGTTTCTAGCAGATGGTACCAGAACGACGTTGACGTTGACATTTCATCAGCTAGGACTCCCGCGCAAGTAATTTAGAGGGACCGGGAATCGCGTGTTTGAAACAAAAAGGTCCAATTTGAACGAAAATCTTAAGTTTTTGTCGAATCTCGTGTAACAGCAGAATGTAGGCGACGGCGGCGTCGTGAGCTCAGCTGGCGCAGCGCGCAGCGGGCGCAGCTCGTCCCCGCGCCCCTCTGGCGCTCGGCTGGAATGCACAATTGCCGCCTGCAGGAGTGGCTCTGTAAGCAGGCTATTTTCATTTTCCCGCGCGTGGCGCAGTGCTGAGGAGGGACCCCGCTGCTGGTCCCCCGGGGGGCGGCGAGTGGGCCGTGGCGTGGCGGGGCGGGGCGCGTCGGTCGTCGCTGCTGGTGGGGCGTGGCGGGACGTGGCGGGGCGTGGTGGTGCCGGCGGCGGTCGCAAGAAGGAAACAACTAGTGTTTTAATAATAAACTGGGCGAAGCGTGAAGCCTTTTCGCGACTATGCCGGGCCACGGAGGCGGGGGGCTCTGGGGTCTGGCAAACGTTAGTGGGGGAAGAGGCTTCGGTTGCGTTGCCTACCCCAAACGACGCAGTCTAGACGACTCCGAGTCGCCGCGAGGCCCGCCGCCCAGAAGAGTATAGGAGTTTTAGGGTGGGTATTAAAGCAGGGCGCAGAACGATAAGGAGGGCAATAAATATATCTTAATCCCCTCCGCAGCCCCGCGCCGCGCTTCGTAAACCCTCTCCTCTTCGTTCTCCTCCTCCCTGCTGCTACGCCTCACATTCATGCCCAATACTATCGACAGGAGTCAGATGCGGCCGCGTGTCCTCCTCGCCCAACTCGACCGTGTTTCGCAGCCGGTCGCCCCGCCGCGCCGCGCAGCGCCCCGGCCAGTCACTTTGTCGGCGACTCCATTAATCATGGAGGCCAGCTGCCGCACCCCCTTCGCGCTCTCTCTCCCTCTCCTCCTCCCTCTCCCCTCCCTCTCTCCCTCCCTCTCTCCCTCCCTCTCCCCTC